CACACACACACACACACACACACACACACACACACACACGTAATACATCCAAATGTAGTGGCAGTTCATTAGCACATTCATTCTTCCCTTTGGACCCACGAAAACAAAGGATAATGCAGCATGCATAATATGAATAAGCCTGATATCACAGACCACGCCCCTTACTTGACCTGTGGGCACGCCAGATCTGGTTTTCAATAAAGCCCATTGCCATGTCAAAACAAAGGAAGGCATTCCAAACATATAAACCACATTTCATTAAAAACAAGCAATGTAACTAATGTTCCAAAAAAACAAAAAAACAAAAACTGAGGGGAAGAACACACACACACACACACACACACACACACACACACACACACACACACACACACACACACACACTTCGTCTCTGTCTCTATGATAAAGTCTAGCCCGTGTTTCAAAGCGAATGTTCTGGTGTTTGTTACACATAATAGTTTCGAATGAAATCATAACAGTAAAATGCGAGACAAAAACATCACAAGGAACCATTTTACCAGCTTGATTTGTGAAGCCGTTACCGGTAAAGTAACAATAAAGCTCCCCATCAGCTGCGCATGTATTCCCATAGTTCTTTGTCCTTCCCCTGCACAAGTAACTAGAGAATCGCCCCGCAAACAAAGAAAATGGCGGACAGCTCTGCAAAGAACTTGCGACAATACGACTCCCGTACAGACAGGAAGACAGTAAAAAAACTGTGCATAATTTAGCGCTGATACTGTATTATATCCGTTTACACCCTCTTTGATACGAATAAGGTAATTAAAGAAACTAAATATCCAAAATAAAAGTACATCTTCGATATGGACGAGCCAAGTAGTAGCTAAGGGAGTTTTAACCCCCCCCCCCAAACTCCCCCCCAAACCTCCCCAACAAAACGCCTCAGTCATCCTCACTATAGTCCATCTTCACACAAGGTAAGTTTTCTCATAATTCGTAGATCTTGAAATAATAATAACAGCATTTATTTAGCCTGTTCTTCTTGTTTTGAGCCAATCGGTCTATTCGTTGCAACGAAAGGTGCCCATACTGTGAGGTGCAGTCCTGGTAACTCGGGTTCTAGACATTAGAACTTCATTCAAATTCAAATTTGGAATGGTAAAAAAAGGCGTCATACAGCATTCAAGAAGAGATAAATGACACCTGCCTCCTGCCCCCTACCCCCCTACCCAAGCCAACCCCTCCCTGGAAAACAAATCAAAGGTATTAACAAAAAACGATGTTTTACATGGAATATGGAATGGTCACAAGAGAAATGACTTTTTCCAAAAACCTGTCCAAAGTCCCGATTCGGCTCAAAATGATAGATTTTGAGTTGAAGACATTTTTAACTTCTTCAGCCTTTCTTACAACTATTTCATAGCCTTAGAAACCCTAACGCCTTATTTTTCCCATACGGGGCATGTTTGACACCACCATTTCCCCAAAAAGTCAATCTTTTATTTTCCTTTATCACCAGTTTTCTCAAAACGCTGTTTTTCTATATACTTTTTTGAATGACTCACCATTTGTCATCCAATCTTCATAATATTTTCAGAGAATGAAGAGGAAATGTAATACTAAAATTTTGTCTTTTGAATTTTTGATATGTGGAATAGATTTTTGTTGGTGGTGTGTGGAGAGTGGATTTTCGCAAATTTTTTTGAAAACTTGAATACTACCTCAGGAAAAAATTCCGCAAAAATTTTAATTCGTTTAGGAAAAATTAAACAAATATATTTGTAGATCTAATATTTGCTAACATGCGTGCAAACTCCCCCCCCTCCCCCCCCCCCCCCCCCCCAATTTATTTTCATGAAAAATAAGATAGCGGAATCTCTTAAGCAAGAAAAGCCAACAAAGTCCGCAATGTTTGACCGCACTCACGTCAATGAACTTCTTTTTCTCAAATTTGATTCTGAGTTTAAGATCCTCTATATATCTTGGTACTGGTGTGAAATTTGGAAAAAATGTATCCACTAAAAAGCGAGAACAGCATTTGGGTGTTGCGACGTGCTAGTCCCCCCCCCCCCCCCCCCCCCCACTTTTACAAATGATCTGTTATGAGTGCACTGAGTACATACAGACAGTGATGTCAGTTACAAGCATTAATATATTCTTTATCCATGCTTTGAATATCATATTTTTTATTATAAGTGCTAGTGAGGCCTTGATGTTGCTAAGCAACGGCAGTGAGACAACAAACGAGGAGCCATTGTCTGAATGTGTTATGAAAACAAAAAACCCACAGTATTAAACTGAAAATCATTACTGGGCAAAATGACGCATTCAGGCAGGAGTTCATAAAAGGCTTGAAGGTCAGGAATAACTGTGTTATTGTCCGGGGATTTGGGAGAGAGATGGTGGAATATCATTTCTTCAAAGGGGGGAAATTTGATCGTAAAAATAACATACACTACACGTAACTACACGTACATTTTCGCCGCGAGATAATTGGGACTTTATAACACACAAGCAGCAGTCACGTCTGAGGATATCGCCACTTTGTCCGGTCAGTTCAAACAATAGGCAAATGATGTAGATATGTTTTTCTTGCAGAATCTTTATTTGACATCAAAATGGCATGGTGTCTAGGATATCTTTTAGAGATAATTTGATGCTGATAACAAATTTGAAATGAAATAAGCATTTTCAAAACCATACAAATGTTATTCTTTTGTTTGTTTACACCATCACTCTACTCTACCCCGAGCCAATGGAAAAATATTTGGTGCTGCCGAAATTTCTGGACCCCGCACTGTACCTCGCGCCCGGCCTTATGAAAACTGAGCACGCACGCAGCGATTTTCACTTTGGAGACTCGGGGCTAGACCTGAGGCTAGATCCCTGCGTGGGTGGTAGGCACTTTAGCGGTTAGAACCCAAATCAAGTCAGGTTTTTTTTTTCTCCTTTACGAAAACTCTACAGAAATTAATTCTTTTTTCCTAATAATAAAGGCAAAACAAAGTACATGTACACTGTACTTAGAAACAGCAACCCTCATACAGTCAAAGCTATCACAAAGCAAAAAGTGACCAAGCACCAGACCACCATAAATACAATAAAAGATATCGCATCAATATGTTGCCCGATAATTTTGTACTTGTTCACAGTTGGCCTGTTCTTATCACTCTTCCCGTCACCTGGCGGCGCGCTCTCCCTCGATTTCTCGGCTGCCCGAAGTTTCTTCAGTCCTTCCATCAAGGCAGAGGGTGGAGACTGGTCGTTGTCAGGTGACTCTGGGTCTTGTTGAGAGGGCATCACTTTGGTCAAAGACGCAGTCGCTCTATTCATCGATCGAACTTTGCCAAATATGTTCTTGAAGGAAGCGGTGGCCTTCTGGCGTCGTGTTTCTTTCTGAAAATGGATAACAATTCAGTTTAAAGAAAAACACGTTTATTCTCGTCTACAGTCATGTGACAATAATATGTGTTCAGCGCTTCTAAGTATGGGTTTAAATTGTAAATGAGCAATAAGATTTTTTTTTAAACAACTGTTTTCAGGAACAACTTGAGTTATCTTTTAAATTGGAGGAGGTTTTAGAGATGCAACAACAACAACAACAACAATAACAACAACAACAACAGCAACAACAACAACAACAACAAAGACAACGCCAACGCCAATGCCAACGCCAACGACAACCACAACAACAACATCAACAACAACAACAACAACAACAACAACAATAATGAAGTAGAAATTCATAGTTTGTAAGAAACAACAACATCAACAACAGCAACAACAACAATAAAATAAAGATTGTTATGAAGAGGTCACCTCCTCTCTGTGGTGCAGCCAGACGATGCCGACAGCGACGATAACCGCGAGGACAGAGATGATGAGCAGAATGATGAGGTAGATGGTCACCAGCGGCACGATGTCGGAAGACCTGGCAGATAAGTCATTTTCAAGTCATTGTAATACACAGTTACGTGTATTTATTTGTACTTAATAACGTGATGTCCATATTCATCGGTTGTGCTGTGGTAATAACGATTGTGCTGTGACAGTATGAATTTCTGCTTCATATGCGTTAGCGTTAATCTAAAAAACCTATTCATCTACAATCATGCATGTGTCATTTGTGTTACGATGAAGATATTGTAAGGCGACCAGAGCTTCATTGTACGGGAGTGGGAGCTATTGAAAATATATGTATTCATATTGTTATTATTATTTTTTTTAAATATTATCAATATCATTATTATTGAATTAAAGATCACTCATATAAACTCTCCTTTGATTGAACCTTTCATATATTTAAGATTTGCGGTGAAATACGTGATTCGGGAAAAAGCAGAAAAAAAATTAAGAGGCCGTGGAGACAAATTCCAAGGGATACATTAATGTCAGAATAGACTCATAGAAACCACATAATAACAGGCTAACTAGGCGGAGAATAGAAACGCACAGTTCAGTGCTGAAAGCTGAATGTGATTATAATCTCTTACAAAAAAGTGTATGTACGACGTAGTCGATATTTAATTTTTTTGGTTGGCTGTATGCCCAATTCCAAGGGATGGCCTAAATTAATTTTAATAATAATAATAGATAGATAGCATTCGTATAGCGTAAATCCCCGCTCAACAGCAAGCTCTATGCGCTTCACAACCTATACTATTACCCCAGCAGACCTGAGAGCATTCTGAAACAACGTCAAATTCCTGGGAAGCATACGGTAAAAGCGGTCATTTATAGGCGTTAAAACACTAACATACTGACAAAACGTTTCACTGTATATTGCCGGGTACCTATTACCACCTGGGTGAAGTGAGGAAAATTCGTGTAAAGTGCCTTTTCCAAGGACACAACGTCGGGTCCGCGGCTCGAACCCCCGAACCCGCACCAATTTTCAAACAGACTCATTGAAACAACACAATGACAGGCAAACTGGGCGGAGAATAGAAACGCACAGTTCAGTGCGGGAAACTGAATTACGATTATGATCTCTTACAAAAAAGTGTAAGTACCACGTAGTAGATATTTAATTTTTTTTTCGGTGGCTGTATGCCCAATTCCAAGGGATAGCCTACATTGATTTTAAAACAGACTCATTGAAACAACACAATAACAGGAGTGGAGAACAGAAATGCATAGGTCAGTGCAGGAAGCTGATTGTGGCAATGATCTCTTACAACCGTATTGTGACATTTTGTTTGGAGACTGTAGTTTATTATATATCGGGAACCAAACCCGGGCAACATGTCTCCTTTGTATGTTGATACATGTATTTAATTTTGTTTTGAGGCTGTATTTATAATATATCAGGAACCAAACCTGGGCAACATGTCTCCGATGATGCTCATGAAAACCGCCAGGGCAAGCAGCACGGTGATGCAGTAGCTGATCTTCTCGCCGCTCTCCACAGGGATGAGGAAGACCATAATGTTGAGGAAGGAGAGCAAAACCACCGGCATCACGATGTTGATGATGAAAAATCCGGGACGTCGTCGCAGGTTGAAGCTTATCTGGACAAGAGCAAGAGATGAAGGTGGAAATTGATATGCATAAATAATAGATAATAATAATAAAAATAAAAATGATAAAATAATAATGATAATCTTATTATAATGGAGCTAAGCCCGTTTGTGGGTTCAGTAAAAACTTTTTACACAGGTGCCATAAAATCAACAAAAATATGATTCAGACAAGAATTGTCCCAAGGGGTTACGCGGGCATATTTTCAAAGTTCGGAAACTGCCTTATGATTTCTCAGGTTTGATGGTTTTTCCTGTAAATCGAACCTCTCAGATGTTTTCACACTGCCATTAGCCATTTCATATTTTACTAGGGACTACTTCCGTTTCATATTGTGCTTCTTCGTGTGTGTGAGACAGCTGCTTCTTCTACTTCCAGAGCTAGAATCTCGATATCCAACTCTGTTTGGATGTGTGCTTGACAGTGTCGATGGATACTTCTGGCCAAACTTCACTTTATTCACTTTTTCTAGATACATTTGGTATAGTCATGTTCCCAACACGTTGAGTTCGTTCAGACCCGCAAAATGTTTACTTCGTTGTATTGACGTTTTCCAAATTTTAGCGCGTATTTGGAGCGTAGTTTTTTTTAGAGCAAGACGCTAGATCTAGATCTCTCTACATCCTTGATGTATAATTTGGAGTACATAATTTAAGACTGATTTGGAGTAGTTTGCAAGACAGAAATGCAGTTTGTGCTTTGTGACTGAATGGTCATAGGTTTGAACCCTGCAATGGGGTCGAAATTATGTCCTTGGCAAAGGTATGTTATATGAATTTTCTTCACTTCATCGAAGTGGGAATGGGTACCCGCGGTAGGCAAGAAAGATGTTTTGTAATAATAATAATAATAATAATAATAATAATAATAATAATAATAATAATAATAATAATAACAACAACAACAACAACAACAGACTGCATTTATATAGATCTCTGCACCATACGAGTATAAGCTCTGAGCCCTTTTATACATATATTGTTTTAAAGAGAGTGAGTCTCAGCTTCAACTTGATCCTCTCTGAATTGTAGGTTTAACCAAATTCAAAGCTTCAGTCCCATATATCATCATATATCATTGAATAGAGCGTTAACCTTAACAGTAACCAAACATTAATATTCGCCAATGAAAACAAAATACGATACAGAGTGGACTCTGTTCACATGAAAATGTCAATCGAAATAAAACAGTATCATCTCTCAGATGGGTGGCCAAACAGGCGTGATCTGGAGAAAAAATATTCAATCTAACTCGCACAGGGTGATGAACCGTGGTGGCCAATTGTAAGCCTGTTTGTGAGCATTAATTGTTGACAAGTATCTTTTTTTTAATGACATGATCTTTTATAATGCCTGTGCACTATACGTTCTCACACTATCTCTGACCGTCTAGCCTGTGCACCTTTGTACTTAGATCAAGTAAGAGGCAGGCTTTGACCTTTTTGAAAGAGCTGTGTACCTTGACCTTTTTATTCGACCTGTAAAAGCTTAGTTCTGAAAAAAAAGACCAAAACAGTTGTCCCTTTCCTCAGTGTTTTCTTTCAATACGTCAAACTACTTCCTCCTTTTGTGAACTCACCCTGAAGAAGCCGAGACCGATCGTAGTATCGGCCCCAGTAGTGATACTCGTGCTGGCAACCTCCCACTCGCCGCTCTCTACGAAATAAGTCAGGCCAACCACGTCGTTTAGCGCCACGAAAGCGATCTCTTGTATGAAGTAACCCATGGAAAACATCTGGGGAGCAGGACGTGAAGCGAAAACGACTGCGTTTTAAAACACTTGACTTTCTTTTTCCTTTTTCTTATTAAAACATTGCGTATTGAAATGGGTTCATTTTTTTGGAATCACCCTATATTATGATGTCATAAATTTGAAGTATGGTTTCCAAGACTGAGCAATGTCATGGCCGCCGCTCTTTGCTCTCTATAAAGACTTCTCTCCGTGCAGATGCTGGGCAAAAGACATGTCTCGCTATAGTTGAGTGCGTGTGCATTCTCATGAACATAATCTTATAGACAGACAGACGTACAAACATTCAGACAGACAGAAGACATCCCACAGACAGAGGAATAAAGACTGACGACAGACAGAAGACATGCAGATCTTGAAACCACAAAATTCAGCGATGGTGGAAGAAAAGCGTGTG